TCAGCTTTACTTTACAACAAAAAGCCCGTTCATAAGAAAACCAACAGGGAAGGAAGACGATTTTTGGCTAGGTATCAGGAGTCCTCCAGGCTGAAGAGCGCGGAGCTCATCCCCCCTTCCCTCCCCTCGGGTTCACACACAAGTAGCGCAGCAGCGAAGGGGGACGGTCCCTGGCGGGAGCTGCAGCCAAGTCCGTGTGCGAGGCACTTGCTGCAGAGCGCAGTCTAAGCTGGCAGGGGAGCCAGCGGCTCGGGAACCTGCACGCTCCCACCCTCCAGAGACCACAGCCCTCCAGGGCAGCGTCACTCATGCAACAGCTGCTTGGCTCCTCAGCCCATAGTGCCGCTGAAGGCACAACGCTGCTTATGCTGCAGGGAAAAGCAAACATTTCACTTCTTCGACGAGAGTTGCACAAGGTGAGAGAGGGTATGTTGAAAGCGTGGCTGCTTTTTATTAGCCCCTGTGCATTTACTGTCCGCAGCACAAGAACCACGGCGTTCACAAGAACGGCCTCTATCCTCTGCACGTGTAACCACCTACTGAATTTTACACAGCCAGGACAACTTCCCTGCACATAAAGTAAAGCACATCCCTAAATACCGGTACAGTTTCGGCAGCAAACACCAAGCTGTTCTTGACTCGACAGGGAAGCTGGAATTCTGCAGCTGGACAGGCTCATCCAAGACCCGACTTGATTTGTTTCCAAGGAAGGAACACCGCTTGCCTAGAAGGACCCGACTACCAGGCAGGTACATAGGGGCTTCCTCCAGGAACCGAGGATGGGACTATCACTTCATCTGCTCTCTCCATGTGCTGCACAGATGCGCCTGCGGAGAAGTGTCTTAAACCTCGGTATTTGCTCGTGAAAGAAAAATCTCCCAAGAAAAAGAATCTCTCCCAGCCTATGCACATGCCAATTTTATAGCTAGCCTCGCTCTTACTTTTTAAATTAAAAACTAGCACTAATAAGGGAACAGATGATTTTCTATTCTTTGCTGTCAGGTCCTTTAACTAACAACACTGGGAGGAACCAAGGCTCATTCTTCCTCTCTCCTCCCAGCCCTAAGCCTGGGGATAGCTCATCCTGGATTTCCCCTCCCCCCCCCCCAAGAGGCATCCTCATCTCAAGCGACCTCAGAAAGGGAAGAAATATAGCCACAGCCTTTAGTAAACTTTCCTGTTCCGTATGGTTTTCAAGGCTCAAGGAAGTCACTCTGTTTAAGGAACTGGGAGGACCGTGTCCTGCTGCACAGCCCGCGTGCTCCTGGGGCAGCTTTATCGACCCGCGAGGGCTCCTGGCCCTGCAAGGCACCCTTGAAGCAGTAAGCACAGCAGAACCTCACCTTCAGATTAAATAAGGTAACTTCTGTAGGTTTCGGTCACAGCTCACCACAATTTGCAACCTGTTATTCAAAGGGTAACACGGTGGATAATCTAAACAGAAAGAACCTGCCTAGCAACAGTAAAGCCTCTGTTTCTGCTTTAAAATGAGATGCGACTGTTGTGATTACTTTGAATAATGTTTTTTTGTGCAAAATGGAATACTGTTCCTCTAATGAGGTTTCAAAGTTGGCTTCAAGGCAAAGATTTAAAACCCCTTTAGATTTCAGAGGTATTTTTTCTCGTTCCTGAAAAAGGGGCTGCTGTAGGACGTAAGCAGCAGTGAGGAAAGGAACATTTCATTTCAAATGTTATAAATTAGAGCCGGTTTGCTGGAGAGAAAAACCAACCTGTTGTCACCTTAAACACACGGCAAGGCAGAGAGAAAACAACAGACTATAATTAAAGCACTTCCCAAGATGGAAGGCAGCACAACAGCAGATCGTTGTGTAACAAGGGCAGCAGAGCCTCGCGGTTAGCCAATTCTGTAGGAAACGCGCTCAGCTCCGTCACCATTTTCTGCCTAATAAGAGTCCCCGTGGAGATCAGATCGAAGAGACGCAAGAGCTGGTGGGGTGAGGGCAGGGGGAAAGAAGCCTAAATAAACTGCTCTGCTGGGTGTTATTCTGGTCGCACGGCATTCGTCTCATTCCACGTTTTGCGCTGCCGCCATCGGGCTGTTGGGTGTTTGTAACATCCCTCGGCCCACTGCTGATCTTGGGGTGCGTCTGCCCGTCTGCGCAGAAAACTCCTCCGTCGAGCGCTGGGAAAGTTACACCGGGGGAGCTGTTAGGGAAACGCTGGCTCTGCCGGCAAAGGAGCGGCTGCAGCTGTGTGAAAATAGCCAGGCCAGCTTTAACGGGGCTGGCACCGTGGTGGAGGCACCGTTAGCAGTGTAAAGCCAGCAACTGGGAGCTCGCCGTCCCAGAGTCGGAATAAATACTGAACCAAATAGCTGGTGCCGACGCGCAGTCTGGTTGCGGTGTTATCCCTGTAGCCCGTTTCATTCCACTTGGGCGTTTCCAGATGAGCTGCACTCACACCAGCGACGACCACGAAGACGCACCGTCTGTTCTGGAGATTTGACCTAACGAAGACACTGGTTACCTCTACGTGGGGTCGGCTCGTGTCCCAACCACACTCCAATGCCATAGGTAAAAACATTTTATCAGAAGGGTAAAATCGGGGTCCTCTGAGCCCTTTTTGGTCTCTCAAGACGTTTCCCGCAAATACTCTTTGGGTCTTTTATTTGAAAATTTGGCCCTGTACTCAATTCCTCCTCTGGACTATATGCTTGCTGCTATATCAGGTGAGTGTTGTCCTGGAAGGAAATACAGTTATCACAAGATGGTTTACTTTGGAGAAGAAGACGTTTTTATAGCATGAATGAAGCCTAAAGCTGGAAGACAATTTTCAGTCTGACTGTTTTGAGAAAACCACTCCAAATGACTTCAAATTTCACATGGGATCCTCCAGTGCACGGTAACTTGTGATGCAGCTGCAGCTTTTATTCAGGTGACATATGATTTGATCTGGAAATCTCTTCATTCAGTCAGTGAACGAAGACCCACAAAGCATCGTTCTCACCAAGTACAGGGCCATGGTCTCCCCAAGCTCCTTAACGCTCTAGAGCAGGTAACTGAAGAACTACCCGCTGAAAATGGCATTTCTCACAGCCAGTTCAGAACTACTGCACCTCCCACCTGGAAGAGGAAAGCCAGGCAGGAGCAAGGTTGGGTTCATCAAGCTAAGAAACCCCAAGCTGCTTCACTTGCAGCCCTGACTCCCTGCATCTCCCTCAAGAATTTGAGTCTTAACGATGGTTTCTGCAAGTTTTTCAGGTTTCAACTCAAGAGAAGAAAAACATAACATCATCAAATGACATTATGAACAACCACATGCTCTTCAAGTAAGTATACATATTTATTGGCCATAAAAAGCGCCCCACATCATGGCACTTAAGTCCCTGCAAAATATCTTGGGTTACTTCAGTTTCCTAGACATACAGACTGCAAAACACTTCACTGGAAAAGGAAAAGTGAAATAAATCTGAAAAGTTTTCTTGGTAGTTTCAAATGCTTCAGATCAGACATTCCAGTCCCTGGGACCCTCTGCGGGCTGGGAACCAGTCTGCACCAGCTCCGGCGCATCCAAACCACGGCCAACAGCCGAGTGTGACCACGAACAAGGCAGGCTGAGATGAGGCACGAACAGGGGAGTTAGAAAATACGGCAAGTACGAGGCGTACACAAAGGTAACTGGCCCTGATAAACTTCGTAGGTGCCAGCGCCCACCTGAGCTCAGGCAGTAAGTACAAAGGATCTAGACAAAACAGAGAATCCTGAGATGGAGATCCGTTTCTTAGTAAGGCTTTGAGTGCATGTGGTTTTTTAAGTGCTTTTCTTAAATTATCACAAAAGACGGGCTAGCATTCTTTAAATAGTTGTGATCCTTCATTCCAGTATAAAACACATATGCAAACATGGCTTAAGACCCATGATCACTTAGGATAGCGTTCTAAAGTTTGTATTAAAAATATTTTTTATCCAAATGATAAATATTTTAAAATAAGCATTTACAAAAATAAATGGTCCGTTCCCATAAGGAAGGACATATATAGCTGAGATTCTGAATACATCTTGAGGCAACACAATTATTGATGAAGCTAGTTAATAAAATCTTTGGTATGAGAGTATAGTACACTAATATTCATGCACCGTTGTCTTCCCTCGGCAGGTATACTGTACAGACAAGCGAAGAGGCGGCTCTTCCTTAATTTCTTGATACGTCTTCCAAATACAACATACAGATATTTCTAATGTGTCTTCCTATGATAATAGGAGAAAAGCCCAAGATTCTCCTGGCTCTTCCTATGACTTTCGTATCTAAAACAGAATGAAGATGGGAGGAAAAAGAGAAAGTAAACACAGTTAAGTTTCATTCTAGCTAGTAAGCAGCATTTACAAAAAACAAAAATCAATTTAAAAAGTGACTCTAGAGGAAAGTCCATTTCCTGCAGTATTGTATACATCAGCTGCCAAGACAGGGTAACGATGAATCTGCTAGGATTCACCGCTGCAAGTTCAGACACACAAAGAGGAGATTACTGAGTTAACGTGAGCACAGCGCCGATGGTGCAAGCCCGGAACACCACATCCAGGTGCGGTGGCCCTGTTACACATGGGGCATTGAGACACTGCGTAAGTACAGGAAAGAGCCTCAAAACTGGAAGAAAGAGCTGTTGTGGTTTAACCTCAGTCGGCAACTGAGCACCACACAGCCGCTCACTCACTCCTCCCCCCCCTGCCCCCGGTGGGGTGGGGGAGAGGATTGGGAATGCGCTGGGATGAAGCGGGCAGGTTAGGTCTGTTGGAGCGTTCGCTCTGAAGAGGGCTCTGTTTCCAACAGTTTGAGAGATCAGCTGCTGGACAGCCTTTACAGTTGTGACTTGTTTTAAGATGAAATCTTAAGGCTTTGGCCAACATTATTGTCGTGGTTTAACCTCAGTCGGCAACTGAGCACCACACAGCCGCTCGCTCACTCCCTCCCTGCCCCCGCCCCGGTGGGATGGGGGAGAAAATTGGAAGAGTAGAAGTGAGAAAAACTCGTGGGTTGAGATAAAAACAGTTTAATAAATGAAATAAAATTATAACAATAACAGTAATGTAATAATAAATAATAATAATAATAATAATAATAATAATACACAAAGCAAGTGATGCACAATGCAATTGCTCACCACCCGCCGACCGATGCCCAGCCAGTCCCCGAGCAGCGGCCCCCCCGGCCAGCTTCCCCAGTTTATGTACTGAGCATGACGGCACATGGTATGGAACGTCCCTTTGGCCATTTGGCTGTGCCCCCCTCCCAGCTTCTCGTGCACCTCCAGCCTTCTCAGTTGGTAGAGCATGGGAAGCTGAAAAGTCCTTGGCCAGTGTAAGCACTGCTCAGCAACAACTAAAACATCGGTGTGTTATCAACTTTGTTCTCCTGCTAAATCCAAAGCACAGCACTGTACCAGCTACTAGGAAGGAAATTAACTCTATCCCTGCTGAAACCAGGACAAGAGCCTTGGAACAAAAGGCTTGGAGAGATTAGTTGGTAATTTTAGCAAAAATAAAGACGGAGAGCTGACTTGAGGCACAAGGACTCCCACAGGGAGAAAATATGAAGTGTCAGCTGGCACAGAAACAAGGGGCTAAAGGGGCTCTGCAATCTGGTAGAGAAAGGCTTAACAAAAATGACAGGCTGGAGCTGGAACCAGTTCCAACTGAGAATAAGACACACACTTCTAATGGTATGGAAAATTAACTGGGATCAAGGGAAGTGATGGATTCTGTGTTTTTTTGGTATCAGTCCCTGAATGCTTTTCTGAAAATGCTTCTATTAAATGCTCGTGACTGAACCTGCTGAAGGGAAGTGACGGCAGCTAAGGAAACACACGGATTAGCCTTGAAGGTCTACTGGTTCCCTTTTAGCCTTAAACCCTGACTCCATGGACAGTGCAGCTGAGGGACTCTGATCTGGGAATGAAGGGTAACACAGCCCAGACTCCCACATCACCTGAAATGTCCACGAACTGGTGCTACTGTAGCCTACAGCTCTGGGAAAAAAATAGTAAAGAACAATGTCCAACTGTAACTGCTGTGACCAGGGTATAAGGAGCAGAAGGCACTAAACCAAAATGGAGTTTGGATTCTGCTCCCCATCTACCACGTGAAGACTGGCAGGTCCCACAGCACCATGCGAAGACTCAAAGAGAGAGTGACACCTCTGAATCAGCTACTCTCTCCCCCGGGATCTCTCCCACTAGCACTGACTCTCGGCTTCGTTGAAGTTGATCCATGTGGATGCATCAATGCACCTTCTGCTAAGAGCTGCCGCTCTCACAGCAATGTTGGGCTGAGTGGAAGGTAGGAACGTGAAGAGGAGCGGGAGCTCTGCTCTGCTGGCTGCTGTGAAGCAGGCGACTTTCAGCCGACAGGGAGAGCTAACACCCGGAGCCAGCAACAGGGGCAACGGTTGTAGCTGCTCGGGCTCAGCAAATCGAGCCAGCGGCCTCCAGCCCTGGCACTGGTCACGCTTCAGCCAGCTCCCGAGGGATGCGGAAGCCAGAAGGTTTGGGTCTGTCTCATGACTGCTGGGAATCACGACCCATTGCTATAGCAACAGGGGCTCACATGACTACTGCCTTTAAAAAGAGCCCCTGTTTGTGGCTTCCTCTGTAGGCAAACGATCCATTATTTACATCTCGGCATGTCTGAAGCGCAATTTGTATCCTAACCTCGTTAATGAACGATGACACCTTGACCCGCTCTATTAAGTAAGCCGTGTTAGATCAAGAGGCACGCTGCTCTCCCGCCCCGTGCTGCAGTAAGGCAACCAAGAGAATAAACACCGGAGTAGATTACCTGAGTTACAGCAATACCAAAATAATGCAAATCCTGCAGCAACGCTAAAACAAGCGAGGAAAAACACTGGACCTAAAAAGAAAATGAAAAAGGAAACACATTAAGACAGAAGAGAGCAGTGGAAGTTTAGCTCAGTTCATAAATCACCAATTGCTATTAATATGCATAATTAAGTGCATTCAAATGAAGCTAACGCATTCACAATTATGTATGTTCTGTAGCTAATGTACTATGAAGCACATTTACAATACTGTAATTAATTTTTACTACAGTTGCTTTGACACCATTCACTGTTCGCCTCTGTTCATCTAGTTATATCCTATGAAATTTAAGTAAAAGCTTCCTTAGATGTTTTCTGACTCTAAAACTTTGCGCAAAAACCCCTTTAAACCCTACAACAAAATACTAACCAGCCTACCGGGACCTCACCACAGTGTGGCATTTTACTCTGTAAATAGCCCCCACGGGGCGAGTGCGCTGCCTGTGGGTAAGAGTACATCGTACGAGACTGCAGCCCCTAAGAAGCAGATTTTTAGGGCTTTGTTTTTTCCCCACAGATGTTCCACAAATTCCACTTTCATGACAAGAGCAAATATTCTCGTTCCTGTTTACAAGTCTGCTGGAAGCTGAAATGCAGAGCCACACGCACACCTAAGATACATCTCCCACTGGGAACATTTCCTTCATGTGCCTGCCTGGAATTACATGCAGTTTAACGCTGATGTTCAGTATTGATGTTCAATAAAACCTTTCTAATTCATACTCATCCACAGACAAAACCTCATAGAGATTTATATCCGCTTCTTTATTATCTAATATTCTATTTGTATTTACTACTTCGCTATGAATATAGCTACAATTAAACTGCACCTGTCAATTTAAGGACAAATGTACTGAAGACGAAGAAATTAGTGGAGCTGACCACACGGACGAGGACGCTGGAGAAACAGCAAAGGAGCAAGGACTTGGTTGCTCCTTCGATGTAATCTCCCAACGAGGGTGGCTAGCAGCCGGACAATCTCCAGTCTGAGGCCAGCTCTTTCACCAGCATGAGTAAGAATAGAAAGTGTTTAATTTTCTTATTTCCAAGCACTTTCTCTGTTCTTCCTGTGCGGTTATGCTGCAGTCAGCAAGCAGCGATGTGAAAAATCTGAATAGCAATTCAGTTCAGTATTCAAAGTAACAACAACACAGGCAAAAATACGCCTAACTTTGAGTTAAACTGTGTTCCTACCCCTCGTTTCGGTTTTCTCTCAGGGGAAAAGTGGCAAAAAGGCATAATTCATAGAAGGTGCTCTTATTCTCTCACAATTGTATCCAAATTTCTAGATAAAATATCAATTAAACTTAAATGATGAAAGAGTTCATTATAAATTTTGAAAATTCTTCAGCTTTCTTTCAGATCTTCAATTCATTTTCAAAATATCTTTCAGTGAATAAAATATTTGCCTCTAATCTAGGCACTGAACAGAGGAAGGGGAAAAAAAAAAAACATGTTTTCCTAAGGAGAATATATTTAAGTTCACCCTTGGTCCTCTTTCTTTCTGTCTGTGTTTTCAAATGATTTCTACTTAAATTGAAAGCTTGAAAAAACTGAAAAAATCTGAAAGTTGTATAAAAAAAATTATTGATGGCCTTATGCAAAATGACAGCAGCAGCAGCTGGATAGACCTTACTATTCAAGCATTGAAGAAATCATAGGAAATGAAGAGTTTAGCTATAACTGTGTAAGTAAAAATACCATTGTAAATATTGATTAAACTCTACGGTCTCTTGAATTTCCTGGCACTGGTTTCCTCCACAGCAGCTCAGTATGTTTTCCTCCATTAATTCCACTTAACTTGTGACAGTAAAGACATCATAAAACAAATTGGTTGTTACATGAAATGCAAATTACATGATAAAATAAATTGCATCATAATCTGAAAAGCCATTCCATCCGGTGACACTGTATGCATTTATTTACCCCTGTCATTTAGCATATATTTCTCCTTGTCAGTGTCTATCTCTGTGGAATCTGTGGTTTCTAGAAATAAAAGCAACACATGAAAAGTTAGTACTCAGCTCAAGCAAACAAACAATCAGCACATGCAAAATTGTGCAAAACACCACATTTCAGAAAAATATCCAATTTTGACATAAAATATTAACCCCTCCGAAGGTAAATCATCGCTATAGTTAAATCCGGATATATGTTGATCAAAAGACATAGGCACAGTGTCATTTGAATGCAACTAGAAATAGCTGCAGCAACACCTCTGATCTGGTTAAGCACTCACCACATAAGTAACATTACACTTGTTTCCCAAGTGAGGGAAGCAAGAACTAATCCTTCCATAATGCCAGAAATTTTCATTGTAATAAATACAGACTATTTGTTAATATATGTGCTAATCTGAAAACACCCCTATAATTTAATTCATCACCATTCTTTCTGTTCTTGAGTAAATCTCTGGGCATTAACGTGCCTGGCAGATAAAGCACTTAGAACAAACTGCTTGGCGCAGATTATTTATCTAAATCCTGGTCTCAGCTAAAGACACGTACAGCTTCTTTGAAAGTCTGTAGGTACGACGTGCTAACATTTGGCGCAACTAATTTTTGCCTCTACCTTTCTGCAAATTCTAGTAGAAAAGGAGGTTGACCTTAAGACAAGGTGTTCAGTAGTAAGCAGCAATAAAGCAGTTTCTGCTTTGGGCAGAAAGACCTGCAGCTCTTTTAGAGGTGCCTTTGCCATATAGATGTGAAGATAACATTGTCTGCAGAACATGTGTACAACACCAAAGAACACCACTGTCACCATAAATGGCAGAGGAATGAATTTCCTTTACTGCATCATGAATCTGCAAAACAACTTATTTGGCCAAACCTCTTTGTGGTCAAGAGGGTTAAAAAAAAAAAAAAAAAGGAAAAAAGTGAGAGCTCCAAATTTGGCTGTCAGTAGGGAAGAATTTGAGAGTGTTTGGTTTCATCTGATTTCCTTCTTCTCGGTGACAATCTGGAGCTAGGTGAGGTGCCTTGGAAAACCGCCCTGTACACCAAGTCAGCAAAGGGGACCCGCCGTCAGCCCACAGCCAACAGTCGGTGAACATCCGTCGCCCATGCTAAATACGTCCTTCTCGGTGGGGTGACAGGGCACGGCATTCAAGCAGAACAGAAACATCTGAAGCGCTTTGCTGCAAAGCTTGAGAGTCACTGAAGCAGAAAGGATTGCCGCAAAGCCTCCATGGCACACTCTGTATCAATGGCGATCTTGCATAGCCTGCCTGTTTTGTGGGATGTCCTCCCTCCCTCTGGCTAAGAAATCCTCACGCTTCACAGGAAGAGCACAGTCAAATCTCTGCACCTTTGTCAGGCTATCGCTGTGCGGGGCTGATCTGATCCTTTACCTTTCTAGCCTGTGTCAGCGTTGAGAGAAAGAAAAACATTTTCTGAGTCACTTGGAAGATCCCGTTTGGCTTCAATAGCTCTGAAGCTGCCCATGCCATGTGCCTTCCCCACCCTCTAGTGGGAATGCTGAGACACTACTAAACATTTCACTTGCAATATTACACTTGAGGCAAAGAAATTTTGTTCTAGCACAAATTTTAAAGTTGTTTTAAAAATGAGAAAGAAATCTTTGAAAGGATTTCCTCCGTAGAAAACGTTACAGAACTCTGCCCTGGCCATAGTTCATCAGTGTCCTCACCAATAATTTTTCCAGTTGTTTATAATGCTGCTTGTTTCAGTTCAGTCTGCAAGTAGGACAAAGTCCCCGTGGTAGGGACTCCCTTTTTTCCCCTCACATTTACAAATTCTATTGTCAATTCTGTAAATGCTCTGTACTAAATTTGACAAATTTAACAACTACTACTGTGAGTAACATAAAAATTGTACATGTTAGAGGTCAGAAGGATAATGCCTTTAATATTCAAAATGTTCAAGTTCACTGAAATGAGAAATAACACCTCATATTGAAAAGGGAGCTCTTCCTGAAGAATAAAACTGTTTGCAGTTTTAGCTTAAAATGCTGCTCAGATGTTTATCAACCATTCAATCCAGAACGCAGACATTTGTTTTAGTTACAGAACTCTTAAGAAGCAGCAAACACGATTATCTCATTATTTCCTTCTCAGGTCAATATAAGGAAACTGCAGAATCTCACCGTGGAGTAGTATTTTAACTCAGTTATTTAAATTATTCTCATTGTTCTGAGGACGGTAACATAAGAGATACAGAGAATTTAATGATTTATGATGGTTACTGGAGTCCCTTTGCATAATGCAACAGCAGCAAAACAGTTTTGGGGCACCACAAACAGCTCTAATTTTTTCTGTGAAGCACTTCTAGCACATGTACTTGTTATGCGCAGTCTGAACATGAGAAGCCCTAACCCTGCCTACTCATGTGGCTACCTGAGTAAAAGCTCTCAGAAGTAAGCACGTAAATCAGGTGCAAGGACGAGCACGTCTATGCTCTAGATAAAAGTGAAAACATCACGCAGACACCCTATGCAAGTTTCCTTCCAGCTGGTTTGTCCCGGCGTGCCAACAGCATGAGGCAGTGTTGAGAGTTCACCTTCGCAACATCTGCACAACTTCCAATGGGAGTTTTACAGGTACGGATGAACTTGGTCACAGGGATGGTATTTCAGGTACCCAGCTGAACTCAGACCGTCTATATGGGATCTAAGTCAGGCCTTGGCTACTGTGTACACACGTTAAGACACATTTTCAGAAACGGCTTGTAGAAGGTAAGTGTTATTGAACATTAACAGAGCTGAAACTCTTGAGCCATCAACACACTCTTGAAATTTTATTCTTAGTGACTACACTAAGACTTCTTAAGTTGCTCTTAATTAATATAGGCTGTCTGCTGCCTTCTAGTCAGCCTGGCAGAAAAACCTGTTGCTCTTGAGCTCCACCCAAGTAAAAACGATTGATCCAAGACTATTTGATTTAAGAGCCTGTTCCCTCAAAGGGCATGACTTCTGCAAGGTGAATATTAGATCAAAAGCACTGCCTTAAAGCTGCTGCAAGGCTGAATCAATGCCCATCTGAGATTCTGAGGCAGGGATGGGCCCAGAGTTTCCCAGTTCAAGAGGGTTCGGGTATGGGATATGAAGACCTGGGGTAACTTTGCAGCCTCCCTGTGCAGGCAGGAAAATGGTGCAGTCTTCCACTGGTACATATTTGTGCTGGGTAGATACAAAGCTTTTCCTTCGAAATGAAAGGCAAAACGAAGCTAGACAATTCAGTATCCTCAAAGGTAATTACAATTTTACGTGCCATTTTCACTCCAGAAATAAAAGAGGTCTGATTGTTGTTTTAAACCTATGGACTTTTGATGTAACGGTTTGAATGTCACTGGAGTTCGACCCACATGTCTAAAATTTCCCCTGGCACCTAGCTGTGGAGTTTCTTACAACTAGAAATCAATTGACTGGTCAAGCATTAGTGTTGTTAGATACTTTATAAGGATTTCTTAAACTGCAATCCCTTTGCAGCTTCATTAACTTAAATGTGGGACCTTTCCCTCGAGCTCCTCAGCCATTTCAGTACGCGGGATGCCTGAACGTATTTCCCATCCATTTGGAACATGGTTCTTTTCTCCAGTTCGTTAGGTAGGGGGCGGGGGGGGCAGGAAAGAAACACCAACACATAGCAAGCATTACCCCAGGTTGGCAAGTCAGGCTTGATACTTTTCCTTAAAAAAATGAGCTCCTTTGCAGTACAGAATCAAATCTATTTGAGCCTCAGTCCTTCTGAAGTACGTACGTGTATATTTGGGGGGCAGCTTTATGGACATCAGTCAGGCCTGCCAGCTGCACAAAACAAGCCCTAAGTGATTAATATCACAGTTCATCATTGCAAGGGCCTATGAATGTTTGTTTCACGTTAAACTAGACACAACTAGGAGATTTATGGATTGAAGGAAAGCCAAGCTTCTGGGCCACCAGAGTTTTGAGCTTAACAAATTTGAGGTTTGCGATGTTCTTACGTGCTGCAAGTCAGAATAAACACAGAGGAAAAAAACAAGCCATTAAGAAGCAATGGTTATGAAAAGAGAAATTGTACTTCATACAAGTTATATCACTGTCTTACATGTTGCACTTAAGCTGTTTTGAAGACATATTTCATATTTCAAAACAATCAAAGAGTTTTAGACTGCCCACACTAGTCAACAAATAATAAAAACTATGCAGTCAAATCCCCTTATGGCTTTTGGAAAATTCCAGTCAGAAGGAATTAATGTATACCCCCAAAATTATTTAAATAACCTAAACAGGCTATTTAAATAACCTAAACCTCATCTGAATGAGGTTTTGTAATACACTGATGAGGAAATCCACAACTCGATCAACTTACAAATCAACTTACTCAAGATTTTCCTGCTTGGCAGGTCATTATACAGCTGTTCAGCATTGATCTGTAGAGCCCTGTAAAACTCTTGACAGTGTCTGTCTCCTTTCTTTTGAAGGTGCTTTATCAGATCTGAAAGTCTGGTATGGAGTGATGCCTTTGGATTCCTGAACTGTAAGAGAAAAGCACTCATCAGAAGAGAGATTACACCAGCTGGAGATCAATTCTACATCACTTTACAGTATGCCAGGGAGTGAAGATATGGAGCTTGTTTTATATTTGCTAAAAGAATGGGCCAAAAAAATGAGGGGAACCTAAAAAGGACACGCATTGCACAGCAGTCTTCAAGACACTGAGCTCCATCTGCTCAGCACTGCTTGATGGGGAGCATATTGCCTCTGCCCTCCCTCATTCTTTTTCCTGTCCTGACAAAGTGACAGCTACTCTCCATTTGATGTTTTCTCTGCATTCTAACTAACATGGTACTTGCTATTCTACAATTTAGTTCTGACAGCTATTGACAGAAAACATCAACAAATGTTTATTACATAATAAAGTTTTATGTTTTCAAGTTTTCCCTTAGTTGCCTAGTAATGATCACCCAAAAAGGTACTTCATACTGCTTATATTAGTCCCAATATTGGAGTGTACATCATCCCAAGATTACATGTTTCATTGTTTCCAGCACAATTAACTGCTGCGTACCCAGTGCAACACGTACAAATACTCATTACTTGGGCAACATGGCAAGCAGTCGCAGAAGAAAGTACTCTTTTTCCGTAGTCCAAAATGGGATGAATATTAGGAGACGATACAAAGAGAATGAAAAGACGTACCTAGCCTTACACATCATCAAACTGATTTCAGCTTATTTGGAAAACGTCCAAAGCCATTCTCAGCAAAGCATTATATTTCAGACCAGGACAGCAGGTAGCATTTGCAGTACACTTAGTTAGGATCAATTCCTGCTCTAGGGGGACAGGAATGCAACATACCTTACACAACACTCCTTATTCTGACAAAATTCCCACAAGGTCTACCGGATGTAGCTGGGATTGTAAGCTTCCTAAACACTCAATAGGGTTGACAGAAACTTGCCTGGACCTATGAGAAAGCAGTTCATTTCCGTCTGCTAAGTGCAGAAGTCACAAATTATGTTTCACAGATTCTTTATGCATTTATTTTGAAGCTGTTGAGGGAATGAGATCATCTTTAATTGTGCATGTCACAGTGTTTATCATAACTGAGAGGCTAGACCGGCTCAGCTGATGATCTAGCACGGCTCTACACCACCAAAACACTATTCGTCCCCATGGAGTTTGATTATGACAGAATTAGACTTATTTTTCCTAATGTTAAAATACTGATATGTCAAAACCCCAAGCCTTGTGCAGATAATGAAGTCAGCAGACGGCAAGTACAAACTGTTATAAGTAGGATCTGGGAAGCTTTTAACTGACTTCAACTTTCACTCCACACAAAAAGATCTTTCTCCCTAAAAACAGCTACCCATTTTTGAAAGCATCATGCCAGGGAGGGCAGCCTTCCTCCATACATAGCAGCACCACTTCAAGATGATATTAACTCCATCCAATTCCCACAGCTCCCACCCTTCTAAGTGGGACTAATGCCCCCCTTCCCTACCAATACTCACGAGTTATTAATCACATTAATCAGCAACTAAAACTGATTAAGCTAATACAGAAGATTTTGTGGACACAGCTGGATGCAGCACAGATCATCTGACATGACATTCCACACCGACTCATGTGAGGAGGCAGGGATGCCGGGCATTTGGTCACACGATGGCTGCGATCCTGCCCACGGAGTGGTTATAAGATAGTGTGCTTCTGCACGCATGGCGTCAGATGTCATGGCAGGGACCACGGCATTAAGCTGCTGCTGAAGAGAGTGCCCTCTCTCATAACCGCCTGGCACAGGGAATGTGCCAGCCCTGTGACTTCTCTGATACGAGATCCCAGATACAACTGGTCAGCAAGTAAGAGGTGAGGAAGATTGGCTGCACGTGGCACAAGAGTCAAGTCGGGAAGAGGGCAGATGAGCTACTGATCCGCGAAAACAATGCAACATTCAGATAGAGTAGAATTCATCAAATTACCTTTTCTGCTTCCGCATTGGTAAGAATTTGAGGGTAGACTCTGTTAAGCTGAAGAATAATTTTATCAACCACTTGCTCATTCAGTCGGCTATTGCTGGTAAGAAAATACATGTCGTGCTGCAGCCGATGACAATACGACTGATCTAGAGGTAAAATAATACAGAGAACAAACCAGAGCAGTTAATTAGCAAGCCATTTTTAAATTCTGTAAATTTCATTTTCCTAACAGCGGTTAAATAGCTAAAATAAAATTACCACCACCATGTAATTTTAGAGAGCTGAACTACCTATAAGGGAAACACAACATAGCCACGTGCTTTCAAAGACCCATCCACTTAAAATTACACACATCTGAACTCCTGGCTGGTCACTCATGCTGCCTCTCTCTTTCCAAAGGGAGATGGTTCTAAATTATTTATATGTCAAGCACTGATGGATATTTAATCAAATACAGTCCTAAAGTTGTTAAATCACTGAAGAGAAATTTTCTATCATTTCTGAAGTCATATTATGGAGTTTAAAACTAATGTGTTTTATAAATTTTTTGATGTAAACATGTATTTCATAGAGAGAGGTTCTCTCTGATGTAGAACAGTGAAAGGACATAAATTTGGCTTCAAATTATGTACATTACTGATACCGGTATACAGCACAGGGCTGGTCTTTGCCTGCTGCTTTGCACCCGAGGACTGCAGCACAGCGTGGGATGGGGTGGGACGGGATGCAGAGAAGCTCACACAGCCAGGCAAAGCAGGGGGCTGACTGAGCTGGAGTGATTTGGCCCTGACATCACCCAACCCTCCAGGAGTTTATTGCTGCCTTTTGTCTAACGGGAGACTTCAGCAACTTGCCCAGCGGAAACTGCCCAGACTGAAACAGAACTGGAACATCAGGAACAGCAGCTCTGCCAAAGAAGTTCTTAGGGAAGGACTTCTACCTTCACTTCACGCGGGAGTGGGGAGAAAGGGCATTTAAAAAGCAGTACATTTTTACCATGGAAGTACACTCAAATACCCATACAAATAAAACACATCTTTTTCTATTAACCCAGACCTCTGCAAATACACAAACCCAGTCTTGCTGTTGTTTTAGGCACCATCTCCAACTTAACAGCAACGGATTTTGCAGGAGCACAGCTTTCCCCACAGCTGCTTGTCTATAGTCCCTAGATTAAGATACAGGCACAGACTGGTTTCACGGGTTACTGTGCCCTTATCAGATTTAGAAAGAGAACGTCTATGACCCTGTCTGAAATAAGTGTTAAAATGTCAGCACAGCACTTTATAACCAAGCAGCACAGAAAACAAAAACAAAACACTGCCACCCCCACCACACCCCCATTTAAAGCAAATGCATAGGTTTTATGGTATTTTGGCTACCAGAAAATCCATAACCATCAGCCCTTTGTGCCCTGCAATTTAGAGAAGATAAACAAAAGAATGAAGGAAAAGAGCCAGAAAACTCTGGCACGATGCACTACACCTATGCACAGCCCTTGCCCTTTCTATACCATGTCTTTTTTCTGCAATATAACTAACAGCATTTACAGGAAGGTTCAGGAAAACCTCCTGGTGCGACCATCACGCGCTAACAACTTCTCCAGTGCCAGCGTCACTCCTATTCAAACAAGAACACACAGCTACTGACACTGCATAGAGAGCTGCAATTCTACAGGCACAACAGGATTTCAGTTACATTCTTACTTTTTCATACAAACACCATACTATTTCCACGTGTTTCTAATGGCTCGCTTTTCCACGGCTTGCTGTCATGGCAGCTTTTTAGCCTACAGTCAGAAACATACTGCCCTGACATACTTGCTGTGCAATTCCCTTTTGTTGCAAGAAGTTCCACGTTATCTGATTCACGACTGAGATCAAACTTCTCCTCTTCAAATCAACTCACTGGCACGCACAAAAGGCTGAGGCGAGGACCAGGAGACTGTGAAGTTGTGTCTGTTCATGCAAATACTTTTTGGGGAATGAAGTGCCACAGCGCAGCTTCCTCCTCCTTCTTCTGCCTCAGCTACATGATTTGTAGTGACTCTCAGTGTCACCAACAACTCTGTACCTTCTGCAAACTTACAAAAAACACACATTAAACCAGGGTCTTGCAGCTAGCAGAGCAATTAAACTTCAAATAGCACGGTGACATTCAAACAACGACCCACAGCAAGTGCTAAAAAGCATGACAAGGATCTGGCACAATGAGTATATAAAAGTAAAATAAAAGCAGGCTCAAAGCGTCATCTCCTTCCCTGCTTCTTGCTCTGTTGCTGCCTTGTCATTACCGATCCCCACACAGGCAGCACGCAGAAGTATATTAGCAGCAATTACGCCAGTGAAGTTCACTGTGACCAGCTGAAGATTGCATTTAAGTCAAGATCATTTTCTGAGCAGTCAGGAGCACTCCGTGTCCTCACGGCACTTTTCATTTACACAGGCTCACTAAACCATCACCACTCTTACCGAGGGCTCTTTGCTGCTATCTGAACCCGCGTGCTGGTGCACCATAGATTATAATACGGGGCATAAGCCTCTCTGAGGTTTCAGGGGTGGCTATGTTTTCTTCCCATCTAAGCCAAAAGGCAGGAGAAGAGAACGAGACGATGCTCTTGGCCTCTCTGGCTACTGCTAAACTGTGCCTGCCAAGGACAGGCCTTACGCCTGGCACAGGCATCTTGCATCTCGCTTCTCCCATCCTGTGGGATGCTCCATTTTTAAGAAGCACCCATGAAGCAGTCTGCTTCCTCCCCCATTCCCACAGAGACATTTCACCCGCAGAAAATCTTTCATCTCTCCTCTAACCCTCTAATCTCTGCCCAAACCACTCGAGGAACTGCCTTCAGACTTCTGGTAAACCAGAGAAGTGAAACTTCCCACCGACATCGCCCACCACTGCAGAATTGTGCTCCCGCTACTAAATTTAAAGAAAACAAACAAAAAAAGCCCCACCAATCCTAGTGGCTGAAACGTGGCATGCTGCTTTGGAGCGATAAGGGTATCTGGAAAGCACACGTGTGCATTTGAAGCCACCACGCGATGCTCCTGGGCCCAGCTTGCCCCAGGAGCTCCGGCAGCTTTGTTATGGGATGGACTTGCTCCCATGCACTGCCAGTCATGGCCCAGTTATGGGTGTACTAACATGACCGCACTATGAAGTTTTATAATCACTGTTCACAAGCAGCAGCTTTTTAATATTGAACATGCCCATTATTTACATTTTAAAATAACAGAAACCCCAAACCAGGTAACTTCACAACTGCAGCAAGGCTACTGACGTGCTGTCAGGTCTTAAGAATTTAGGGAGCGGTTGATTGGGATATTTTGCATATCCACCTTTTATCTCACTGCCTCAAAGAGACGACAGTTATTGCAAGGAAAATTTAAAATCTTTATGCTAAGATAACTTTGTTTTTAAGCAGGAGTCACCCCAGCATTCAAAGGACAGTCATGCTGTTAGCAAGTACTTACCTAGAAAGTTCAGAGCAGCAAAACTGGGAGACCAGGTCAATTAGCCACAGCTTACAGCACAGGCCTGGCATTGCCAGCCATTTTAGCACCCTCAGGCTGCACGAGGATTGCATCTGCCTCCAAATTTGTAATTTGGTATTACCGCAGTTACACTTTCTCCTCCACTAGAACATTAATCTAACCGGGCTTAATCCTGTCCACAGGCTTTGGACCCAGCTGCAGGTTTGCCCAGGCATGCAGCTGCAGCGGAGGAGCCTGCAGGCTTTGACACAGCTGGAGGGTTGGCAGCGGACGGAGCTCAGCCTCACTGAAGAGAGGCAGCAAATACAGCTGAGATTGGGTACCACAGCACTGAAGCTGACCTAAAGTAGCTTAAAAAAAGGGGGGTATTTTGCTTACTCAGAAAAAATGTAAACTTCTCAAAGAGACAGACAGGAAACTCAAGAGCTGTCTTTGACAGCTGAGAAGAAAACATGACTAATAATTTCATGTTATTGACTTGTAATTACTACAAGCCCATGACACATCATACACGACCGCTTTTTTCTCTTACCCAAAGTACAGAAGGCCTCTGGCATACAGCATATGCACGCCACGCTAACATACACAGCCTGCACCTGACCACACACACGGAAGGAAAGGAAGTACACGTATAATTAAGAGAGATCAGAGAAAAGCAAGAGATTACTGGTTATTCGTAGCCAGCAGCTCCTCAAACAGAGAATAAAATACCTAAAATCAGTGATGCTAAACGCACAAGCAGCAAATGACACTAACGAAGCAACACACTCATCATTTTTCACCTGCAGGAAAAAAAATCACACACATCGCAACCCTCCATAAAATGACACATCTCTCTTCTTCCTTCCAAATGGGCAATTAGGTTTCTGGCAATAGCTGCAGAATGACCCAGCCGTTATACTAAGTGCTGGCATTTTAAGGCTGCTGAAATATACTCTGCTCTTGGAAGTAACAAGACTCATAAAAAATGCGATCATAGGCGACCCTAACGTGCCAGACTGTCTTCTACAGCACCTGCAGGAAAAATGTCAAGGGCGGCAGAGCCACCCTTCCCAAAGCTCTTCCTAATTTAATAGCAGAGTGCGTTCACAGAGAGTTTTTCAGAGGTAACTCCTAACCTAGGCCCAGGCTTGCCAGGCCCTGGCAGCAGCCAGGACGTCAGGCAAGCGCTGTGGCGTTGGCACTCTTGCTCCATACGCCTCTGGTGAGGCGTGTGGTCCCTGAAAAGTGTCACTAGCCCCTGGCACAACGCACTGATAACACAAAACATAACTTTCAGGTTATAGTGGCTGTCAAAAACCCCTTTATAATTTTGATCCTGCTTAATTATTCTTACCATAAAAGACCCCGTGTTGTTTTCTGTACAAGGAATATCAAATGGGATTTTGACTCTCACAGTCCCCTGCATACACTCCTCTACGATCTACTTTCACTGCCCTTCTAGATAAAACCACATGGCCCTAGGGACCTGCCACCTTAGGCTGGGGTCTGCATTGCCACCTCATCTTTATCACCGTAAATGAATAAATCCAGCTGCATTTCAAATTCATAGGCTGCCATCAGCCCCTCCTCACTACGCTGTGACACGTAACCGCTCTCATCCACGCTTGGACCCCGGGAGCATAAATGCTGCCAGCCCCCTCAAGTCA